GTAATAAATTGTTGTCAGAAACTAAATTATTTTCTCTAGTTACTGGATCTTTGGTTTTAGATTTTTCTTTCAACCTAAACATTACATCTTGAGCATTTTGTAATTGTATATGAGCTTCTTGCAGTTCCTTTTCTAGATTAGCTGAATGTCTTTTATTAACTTCAAGTTCCATTGATATTTGATTAATATCTGTAAACAAGTATATTGTAAAAATAATACATCACATGTATTATAACATTCAACGGCAATATTACTTGCCTTTATCTGCCGTTTTCAACTTGTATTGTAATAATGACATTTCATTATTCAATGTTCTTATTTCATTTTTTAACATATGATTTTCTTCGGTCAACGGTTTGGATATTGAATCAATTGAATTATCAATATAAGTAGTAGATTGACCGTCATACTAAACATAATTACATACTGTTAGATTTAAATAATAAATTATAAGCCATATTACTGTTATAACAAACCTGAGATTGGATAGTCGAATCATGACTATTTAAATATTGCAGTAGATGCTCATCAGATATGCGAGAATCACTTTTGGGTTTCTTGATTAATGACTTTGAGGCAGGCGAGCTAGGTACTGACGTAATGGGTTTATTTTCGATTTCAACAGACACATTTTCCGATACTGGTGTTCTTAAGAGAGAAAATAAAAGTACTGTTAGAATATAATGCCAGGGTCATTGTCAAGTAAATGTACTAAATAAAAATAAAAAAATACTTGAAAACGTCTTTCAAAGGTTTTTCTTTTTGGTGTTGTAACACAACTGCTGTGTTTTGGTCAATTTTATCCAGATAATGTTCCGCTTTACCAGCCAGGTCTATGAGCCAAGACATTTCTTCAAGTTAACAGTAACTCTTGAGAGATTTCACTATCTAGTACATGGTACCAGTTAACTATAACAAAGTTAACGATTAAGTAAATACTAAATCGTTTTGTAGTGACTTATGATCGTAAAGTAAATAGTAAATACTAGGAAGCTAGCAACTAGTAAATAGTCATGAATACAACTTTTTGATACTAATGAATAATGATACTAGATAAATCAAAAAAAATATACGATACCCAGTTAGTCACTTAAGAGTAGGTGGGAGTAGGGAGAACTACGGTTTATCGGCTCACGACTGTCGACGAATAAAAAAAAAGTGGTATGGGCATTGCAGCAAAATTAATTTCTCGAACGTTTAGTCGAACTTAGTTGTAAAAGCATTACGACATCAAAATACTATTTACATGACACGTCCAATAATGTCCTATGGTGATAACAGACGAATAGAACCTTATCAGCTCCCCTTTTATGTAATTTTAGTTGCCGTTATTTTACCCCTTAAAATTAATATGAAATCACGAAAACAAAAATTATTTTTATCCCATACCTAGATGGTCGTATCTAGTTGTTATACATAGTCACGTAAATTTATAAATTAAAATATGGTTAAAACTTACAGATCGCAGCTATTTTTGTTAATTGTTGTAATAAAATATTTTATAAAAATTAACTATTATTTTAATACAGTTGTAGACAGAGAAAACGTCATACGAAATAGTACATACTATACGTGAAATTATTACATAAACACATAATATTACGACTTATAAGTACTCATACATTAACCTAATTAGAAAGTATGAGCAAAATACTTATTCTAAAACATATTCTAAGTATTTTTCATAATCCTATTTTGATATATTATTATGTAAATCAAAAGAAACAAACTAAAAAAATAAAAAAAACAAATTTCTATTGTTTATGAACAAAAGTTTAAGTATAATATTCACTCGGTTTATATCCAGTGGCATATTTTCGCTTAAATACGCTACTGTTTCTATCGATAGCGGTTGCGACAAGTTGTTCTCGATGCTCAGTAACTCCGAAAAATTTTCTTATTATTCAATGCATTTCAATAATAAAAACACTTCATTTCAAGTCCCTCAAGACCTCATTTCTCGATACTTCAGAAAGAGAAAAAAATTACATACCTAGCAGTGCTGTTCTTACACTTCCACACATAAGCAAAAATAGATTCTCTCCACTACAAACTCCACAATAATAGCAAAACGGACGGTACTATAGAAAATTATAGTATACATCACAGGTTAGGCCTAAAATGCATACATCATATTAGCCTTTGATAATTTATCCATCGTTAACACAAAATGTATTCAAATATTAAATTTGAACTTGACAGATTTACATAAAATAATATTGATGTTTTAAAATAATGTATTAAAATTAAAAACTTATACATTTTTTTTATCATAGTGTTATTTTTAAATGAGTAAAATATTTATTGCAATCATTTTAATATGAACGATTTGAATTGTGAACGTTTAATGTCAATTATCATACTTTAAATTATCGAATCATATCGTATTCTAATAATATGTTGTATACATTAACTTATGTAAATGCATTTATTAATAACTATTAATTAAAATTTCTATATTTATAAATATATATATTGTTTTAGCAGTAAGTTTTACTATGTATTTAAAAATTAATAGCTCATGGTTTTATTTTTTCAATCATATCCAGGGTAGGTAATAAATTAAAATTACTTAGGGAGAAGACGGCTAAAGCCTCTAAATTTCTACAAAATTGTTTGAGTAGCCGAGTAGGTTATTTAATTATGTAACTAGTGAATAGAAACAAAATCTTTGATATTTAAAATATTAGCAAAGTCAATATTAAAAATCGTAAATGTCATCATTATATTCAATATTAATTAAATTTTATAAATATTTTTAAATTAGAATTTGAGTATATAAATAAATTATAGTACCTATTCTAATTTAATTAAAACATCAAATATTAATAAAGAATATTAATATAAACATTAAAACATATAATATATTGCACAAATATTAAAACACAATTTAAAATAGTATTATCTTAAACTTCGCAAAAAACAAAAATATAAGTGATTAGTGATGAGTGATGACTGATGAATGATGACACTTTATAATATTGCAAAAATACATAATATATTGACAGCCTACTACAAAATGTTTTCCATTTATTACTATGGGGCTAATACTTTAAGATTTAATGTTATTAATTAATGAACACATACAAATTCAACTACATTTTGTAACTTATAAGTTACATGATATTTAATTAATAATTAAATGACAATTGAATGTATTATTGTATTCAAAATAATTTTAAACAAATATTTATTTGTATTATAAAACTAGCTACATATTTTATAATTTATGGAAATGAATTAATAACTAAACTAATTAAAAAAAAAAAAGAATACCCATTGATATACAGGAATAAAATACAAATCAGTTAAATTTTATAAAAAATAACTTGAAAATTAAATAATTTCCTCTATTAAACTTAACATTTATATTAATTAGTAATTACTTATTAAATAATATGTTGGTAATAGGCCAATAAAAATATATATATATCTAAAGTAATTAATAAATAGGAAATTAAATTTAACAATGATTAAAATGTATCAATAACAATCAACAAATTGTCTGTTTTAATTTATTATATTTAATAAGTATAAATAATATTGACTAGTTTAATTTAGTAATGTGTTTTTGAAAAACCACTCTTTATTAATTATAATTATATTCATGAATTACCTAACAACATAGTTTAATGTATTTGGGTTTATTTCCAGTTAAAGAAAATAAAATCCTAAATTTAAATCTTTAAAATATTTAATTATTCATAAAGGCTATTTAAAATGTATATGAAGACATAAATATGAAAAATAATTTATTAATCAACAGTTAATATAATAGTTAATAAATAAGTAAAAATTGAGATACATCATAATCAAATAATTATTTTAAAATTAATAAGAAATATTTCTTAGAATTAACAAATACCAAGTTTTAATAATTACTAGGTACATAAAATGTGAATTAGTTTTAGTAGGTACCTTCCATTTATTTTATATTCTGATAATTTAAAAAACTCAATCGACTTAATTTCAAAATAGAAGAAAAATGTTAATTTTTATTAGCTAGTTGGAAGATACTCCAAACTAGACCTAACAAATTAACATCTTTCATAAACATTAAAGAAGTAATTTGAATTTAATGACTCCAACATCTAAATTTGATATTAAATTAATTTAATTAACTAGTTGAGTTAATACCAGGCTATAAGCAAAAAAGTTTCAGTTTCTTGATTTTAGTTGTCCATCGATGTAAATCTAGCCTTAATATTTTTCATGTAAGAGTTACTATTATTATTATTTTTTTTTTTAAACAAACACAGTAATGAAAATTATTATGATATGCTCTGTAAAATTTAACCACTTTGGTTTAATATTAAATAACTTAGAAAATTTCTATTTTTATTCATTTTTTATATGTGATAAAAATGAAAAAAATTGTGTGGTTCATGTTTTTTTTTTTTTTACCAAGAAATTTCTGCCACAAAGAGTAAATACTTGAATATTAAATTCAAAATTTGTTTTAGATTTAAAAATAAAGTAAGAAAATGAGTGGAAATTATAGAAAAATAATGTATATATTTAAAATTTTAGAATTAAAAAAATTAAATTAATAAAAGGTTTTTGTTTTCTATTAATTAAAAAATTGTTGGTTGTAAAAGCTTGATAATATTTTTGAATTTTATGGATGTTGGAATATGTTAAAAAAATTTAATGTGAAAAAAGTAACATTGGATTTTTAGGAATCAGAAAATATAAAATAGATATAAAACTTTGAAGAGTTAATTTTTTTATGAAATAGAAAAAAATAAAGGATATTACAAAAAATCAGAAATAAAATTGAACCAAAAATAACAAAAAAATTAGGAGAATACATTTTTTTAACTTTTAAAATTATAAATGATAAAAATTTTTTCACTATTTTAATTTTTCTTGAGTCTTGGAAAATGTTGAAACATTATGAGAAAAATAGATTGTACCTACTAGAACATACAATAGATATTACTTTCATTTTTTACATGGTTAACACTTAAACAAATGTTTAAAATACTGTAATATAATTATTATCTAAAATCAACCACATTGACCAGCAAGTTGTCATCCAATAAATAATGTTCAGCAATCTAAAATAAAATACAATACATTTTTAAGTTTTTAATATAGTTTGAAAATGATTGGGTGATAACATTTCATGAAATTTATTTTTTTGAAATATTTAATTTCAATGAAAATTGAAAAAAAAATATAGTACCTAAAAGTTTATAGTTTCATCAACTAGCAAGTGTATATTTTTATAAGTTGGTTTATTGTATGAAACATATTTACACATAATTTAGAAGATATTTTATAAATTTAAACATAGCTTTTTAACACACTGGAGATGAATTAAGAATAAGTTATTTATTATCAATATTTTCTGTTTAAAATCAATATGTATTATTTATAATCATCTATAACCGAACACGTTTAAAAGAAGAAAAAATATTTCAAATTCCGAACATTAGTTATAATTATTAGAATTCTTTATTTTGTTTCACTTCAATGTATATTTCAAGGATCATAATATATTTATAATAAAAAATTGTCCTAACTAAGAGTACTTAAAATAGAAAAACTGTAATTTTATAGTAGTTATCTTTTTTATTAATCAATTGCAATTGGTAATTAAAAATTATAAATATAAAAATAAAACATACTAATTTGGAGGTTATTAATCTATAATCTATGAATCCTCAGGGGTAGATTTGAATTTATTAAATTAATATTTAAATATTAAATAATAATTAAAATTTGAAATCCAAAATGTTTTCTAATTTTATTTTTTTTTGTGATGCTATCTTTTAAGATATAAGATTTATACTTTATCATGCAGAAAAAAAGTGCAAATCCCCTTACTTTAGTAATCACATTAAGAACATATATAATCTATTAATATATTAATACATACAGCATAAATATCACCATCTGTGTTATGTGTATGGAAACCACTGACAAATTTGCATTCAGCTATAACTTGTAATCCATGATAAGGTGTCAAAAAGAAGAAATTTGATCTAGAAATAATATAAATTAAATTTAAATTTAAATTTGAAAATGTGTAAATCAAAACATAATGAAATAATATTACTCGTTATATTTAGGTGCACAGACAATTGCAATAGCTTCTGGCATCATTAACTGATATGAATAATGCGTATGCAAGTCCACACTTGACATAAAAGAGGTTTGTGTTGGATGAGTCTATCAAACATAAATTCAAATTACATAAAAATTTCATTTATAAGGAATATTGAAGAAAAAAAAATTGCTTGACATTTTAAAAATATAATAGTATATAAGCTCGGAATTAATGATCCAAAAATGTTAAAAATTTATCTAAAAATAATTTAAAAACCATAAGAATACAAATATAAATAATATATTTTCTAATTAATCTACCCAGTTTTTTAAATCAAAACATAAAATAAAAACATAACAAAATGTTTATAAGTCATCAAAAATTATAGAATGATCCATCAAATTTTTAAATTCAAAAAGAATCAAAAATTTAAAAAAAAAGTAGTGATTTAATGAAAAATTAACTAAAATTCCATAAGAATATAAAAAAATATAACTATTCTAATGTAAATATTTAAACAGTATAGGTGACAAATATGTCTTGTTATTGAGTAAATTATTGTAATGGAAATATTAAATTTTAATTCAATGACAAATTAATGTATACAAAAAAATTTCTAAAAAGTCAACCTGTTAGTTTATATTAGTATATTTTATGACATATAAAGCAGTTATTCAATTTTTGAGTTTAATTATAAAAACTAAAATTGATTTCAGTAAATAGTTTTTTGTTTTATTTTACTTTAAAAACAGAGTAGAAAATTGAAACATTTTTCTATTATGAAAATTGGTTTAAGACACTAAAATAAAAATAAAAACAAATTGTAAAATCAATATATCTATTACTTTACTTAAGAATCTAAAATTTAAAATAAATTAAATTTAGACTTATATGTTATTTAAAGTTTAAACATAATTTTAGCAAAGAAATAAATATCTAAAACAGGGATTTTTAACCATTTTAGACAGCAAACCAATTTTTATTTAAAAAAAATTCTTTTGGACTATGCTTAAAATGTGTTTACAAGCTTAAAAAGACAAAGTATGTAGACATCAGCCCTTTCATTATTAGCTAAAGATCCTTAATATAAAATAATAAAAATTAAATTAAAATAAAGTCATTAACTACCGAGCATTAATTTAAAATAATTAATTAGATAATTTTTATTTCTCAATAAATCTTACATGTATCCATCCTAAGGTAATAAGGTCCTGCTTGTCTTGAAATTCAAAAATGTCTTCTTCATTCATTGTAGTACATGAATCTGATGTACCACTTTGTTTTGGAATCATCAAATGAGTCACAATTAAACAGTTAGAATTCTAATAATTATTATAATAAAAATATTAGTTAAATATGTTTTATACAGCTCAAAATAAATACCAACAAACTAAAAGAATCTACAACACTTTTTAAGAAATATCGAAAATAAAATTACCAATTTTCCTGCTAATATACCACAAGTTTCTAAGTTATTAAATGTATTCCGTTGTGCTTGTTCTAGAAATCTTTTAGTTAAATTTCCAGGAACTATTATTTGACGAAGATTGTACGGGTTTGTAGTGTTCTTGTTTAACATTGGTTTGGTACTTCTATCAACAATAGGTTTATGTCTAAAAATATAATAGATTTTAAAAAAACTTTTAATATTAAATTCTAAGTATAATTTTTTATTTTATAACTTTTATAAAATCAGTAAGACAGAATCTTTTAATTTTATATAATTTTACATACTACCAATCACCATAATGTCAAATTTTAAATAACTACTTACTGATTGAATTGTATTTTCGAATTTGAATGTGTTGGTATATTTAATGGAAGAGTATTATCATCAAATTCATTTAAATTGATTAAATTTTGATCTGGTGGTCTAGAAATGATTTTAAATTAATACCTTGGATTACTTAATACCTTGGTTTAATTAAAATACAATAATTTAAAATTCCTTGAAATGTTATTTATATGCAATATTGTTTAAACTAAATCTTACCTTAATTCAAATGATGTAGGATTATTTAATTCAGGTACTGCAGTATTATTTAAAATTGTACTTAATTGTTCTTGATTGACATTTTGAATAGATGGTGTATCATTCTTTTCTATACTTAATAATTTTTTATCACGTTTTTCTTTAAATTCTTGTAATGCCTATTAATATAAATATTGTTAAATATATTATGTTACACTAATAATTACATTATTTACTAATAAATAATGTTAACCTCATGTTTATTGAATGAATAAAATATGAATTTTTAAAAAAATTATATCCAAAATAATAAAAAAATATAATACACTCATTTTATTTTTATTAATGATTGATAACGGTTATTTCAGAAGTAAATATACATTTTTTTTTAGTTACAGTTTTATCAAACACATTTAATTTGAAGTTAAGGTTAAGTTTATAAGTTTTTAAGGAAGAGTAGTGGACTATAAGTTAACTATCACTATGTCACATATGGCAATAAACACATACAAATTATATTTGTTAAATATTTAAATATGAATTCATTTAAGAGGAGAGTTATTTAGTTCAATAAGTCAGAAAGAACAAAATATTCCTCATAAATTATGAAGATTTATTATGTAATACAATATCATGATATTTTTTTCTTTTTATTTTAAAATAAATACTACAATAATTATAATTGATTTTCATTTTTAGCTAATTAAATCGTGGGCACTGATTTTGAAAAAGTATTCAATATATGGACTGAAATAAGACTCTTTTGATATGCTAGCGAATATTTAAATGTACTTCATACTTCATAGTATTACTACAAATGTTTAACCAACCAGTTATGTACATTCACAGTAAAACTAAAATAAATGTAAACATCTGTTTTTTTTATATCATCGTGTACAAATAGTCCTATTTTTTTTAAAGTAAATTTAATTTAACAGAAATTACGCTAAAATTAAATTTGGCTAAAAGATACTAAAAATAAATATTACTATATAATAATATGTAGTTATACCAAACAAAAAATTATAATTACTTTTTGTTCTTGATACAATTCATATTGAGTACTATATTGTTCCAATAATTTAGTTTTTATATTTTCTGTTATTGGAAGAACTTCACGGAGAGCACGATAATTTAAATTACGTTCTTCAATTGGTACATTTTTGTAATCAGGATGTTCATTAATAGTTTCCAAAAATAACCTAAAATAAAATAAAAAATTGTATTAAATAATTTAAATTATGTAATGTCGAGTAAGCTTATAATAATATTAGTAATAATAAGAAACAAACCACCACACACCTCATCTTCTAGAAGAAGCCCTACAATACGACCTTCAATCTAATACCAACATCATCAACTTCTTAAAGGAAATTAAATTATATAACCTAATACAAGCGTTAATTTATCCTAACTTTAATTTAAATGTTTATACAATGTCAACTAGTAACTAATGACCTACTAGCTGATATAATTATGTTCAATAAAAATAATAATAATAAAATAAAAAAACACTAGTACAGTTTCTTAATTTTTATCAAAAACAATTAAACTAATTCTTCTTTTAATTTTTTCAAAATATGAAATTTATGATTTATATTAAATTAATAAATAAAGTTATAAACAAAACTATAACTGGTAAATCTATTTTATTAAACTGTATTATTAGCTAGTAAATATTCAACTTTGTAAAAAACATTTAAATTTTATTAAAACATGGAATGAAATTTAGGAGTATTTTCCCATTTCTTTATTTTAAAATTAATTGGTAGTATAATTAAAATAAATTATGTTTACTACCTACTTATAGTAACTACTAAGTTTGTTTAAAACATACTCTGAATATTTTAATTTGTTAATATTTATTTGAGCTTAAAGAAAATAAATTTTTTGAAAGTAGTTAAATATTAAAATCTTACGTCATAAATCTCATGTAGAGAATATACGCTTGTTCCAAATTGTTTTCTTTTGTATATACATCAGCCATGCTAATCATTTCTCGTCCTGATCGGTAATATCTATAACAAAGTCAAATTATTTTATTTTATTTAGTATAGATTTAATATATTGTAAAATCATACTTTCTAGCTGCTATATTGGTGTTTAACTCGACTTTCGAACTTAACAACAATTGTTGAATTCTTTTTTCTGGTGGTAGTATGCCTTCATCAATATTTCCAATACCGGTTAGATTATTACTCATGTTTATTTATTACTCTACAATCGATTTCAATTTTTTATGTAATGTTTAACTATATTGGAAGTTAAAAGACAACAAATTGTAAAAATAATTTAGATGACTGTGAATAAATTGTGACTTGAATGCAAAGTAAAAAAAACATCTTTTTTTTTGCTTTTAATCTATGAGAGTCACGTTAGTACGTTACCTTGTGATAAAACATGATAAGCTTTAATAATTATTCAATAATTAATTAAAATATGACAAATCAGTGCATTGCAATGGTTTTGAGTGTTTTGAGTGTTTTGAGTTTATGGTTTGTTGTTTATGACGTATACCATGTTAATCATTATTAATTAATTATAACATCATTTTTATTGTAATCACCAACGGTGCTTAGACACTTAATGGCCTTTAAGGATCTAAACCTATTACCTAATATGATGTTTATCGATTTGTCATGCGAATCTGGATAGTTGGTACTGTTAAAATACTTTGTAAAATAGGTAATTTTGTAGTTTGTACTCTGTGGTTTGAACACAAAATTATTCTGTAATGCTACCAAAACGTCCAGGTATTGATATCTTATAAGGAAACTGTTATCATGTGTTATCTTCCGTGATAATAGTTACTTAGCAAACTCGGAACTTCGTATCCTATTAAATATTTACTATTTACTGGAATAGTATAATATATTAATATGGGTACCATGATTAACTAATTAATAACTATATACTATATAGGTAGTCAGATACTAAATACTAAATAGGTACTTACCACTTCATATTTTTTAATCTATGCAATTTACTATTTACATTGTATCAATATACCTATTACTTATAGGCTATAAGTTAATTCTGCGGTACTTACCGCCGGCGACCAAAGACAGTTAACGACGAACTTGTAGCGACGCGGAATTTTGTTTACCCATTAAACATGTTCCGACAGCGCGTGAAATTCATCAGTTGGTTCGTTTATGAATCATTCGCACGAACTATTGGATATCAACAGGCTCGCCGTGCAGTCAAATCTTCACCAAACGTGAGGTTCATCCCAGACGTTGATTTGTAGCCTACAACTCGTTTGACTTGTAAAACTAATAATTTTTTTTACAGTTCCGGATTCCAGTGGTATTGGGCCTATCCTTTCCTTTCTTTGGCAACAACAAGGCAAGTTTAACCAAAGTTAATGAACGCGATTCAACCATTGACGACGATAAACTAGTCTTGCAGCAAAAACTTGTTGAAGCTGATCAGCTATTTCTAGCGAACAAGTATGAAGATGTAGTACGTCTACTTGGAGAGTATAAGGTATTATGTTTATTTGTTTTTTGTTTTTTTTATATTGTTATTTAATGAGTAGAATGCATAAATAAATTATACAATACATTTATTTAATATAATGTTTATATGAGTACCTATGAATCAAAAATGTAGAGAAATATTGTGGTAAAAAATAGAAAATAAGATTTTCAATTTGTTACAAGAACATCACACCCTTATCTGCTTTCTTTCATTGATTTTTTTACAGTACTTTAATTTTTATGTAAATTATGATGAGTATTTTCATCATTAATATTTTACATATTCATAACTTACTTAAAAATTAAAATACCATAAAAAACACAGTTAATTTTCTTACCTCTAAATTTGATTATAGGTCATTTTACTCTAATATTTAAGCTAAATACACAAAATTCATTCTACTAAAAAAAAGTTTGCCATGTTGTACGATTATAAGATCTGGCTGCATCCTCTTAAGTTTTTGAATAAGTTAGATATTTTTCCTTTAATCAAATCTTCCATGTTTCTATTTTTTACCTAATATTACATTTTGTATTAATCATGTACAGATTGTAAATATTAATTTTATTAATAATTAAAATTTATTTATTTTATATTTTTATATTTTTCAATTTAAAATAATTTTTTTAAAAATAATTTTTAGGGTATTTATTTATCAGTAAACCACATTTAAATAGTTATTACATTTTTAATCTTGATTTTAATCATTAGTTATTAATTTTAATGCTATATGTTTATAACTGTAATAAAAATGAAAATTTAATATTTTTATGTTTATTGATCTAATTGTCATAATTATATATAATATGTTAATTCCAGGACAAAAATAATGTACAAGTACTATGGCGTTTGAGCAAAGCTGAGTATAATATGAGTTTAGATGAAAACATTAGCAAGGAGAAAAAAAAATCTTTGATATCATCAGCACACGAATCTATTATTAAAGCATTAAGCATTGATTCAAATATATCAGAAGTTCACAAATGGGCTGCTGTCTTAATTGATGCATACAGTAATATCAATTTAGGAATTAAAGAACAATTACTTAAATTGGAAACTGTAAAATTTCATTTGCAAGTAAGTGCATCATATAGCTATAGCTATACTTTATAAACATTAACAAATTAATTTTTCAATTCACTGCCTATTATTATATTTTTTTTTTTTTTTCATAGAGAGCTTTAGAACTAAACCCAAAAGATCCATTTTTAAGATACATGATTGGATATTGGTAAGACATAAATTTTCCATTGTGCTTTTTCGCTACATTTAATAAGATTTATTTATTAATCAAATTTCTACGACTACAATCTACAACTGAAATCGATGATTGCAGAAACGACATGAGTCAATTTTTTAAAACTTTTGGATAATTAATAAAAAGTGTATAATTTAAATAATTCTGAAAAAAATTCTTATTTAAAAATGAATACTTGTAGAAAATATATTATGCACTGATTATACATAATTTATGTATATAAATAATATGATGTTTTTATTATTGATTTTCAAAGTTTTAACTCATGACATTTCACAAAAAATGTGACTCATGTCGTTTTTGCAATCATCAGTTCAACTATAAAAAAATTACAATTTCTTTATCTGGTTGTAACAACGTTTAAATAATACTTACACAAATTCAAATATGTAGCAGAGATAGAATGAACTAGTTAATTATTAGTAATTTCATATTTATAAATCAAAAAATAGGTATCAAGTATTGTACAAGATTTAATTTAAGAAACATTAAATTTAACAGTTAAAATAAAACTCTCTAATTAATTTTTATTGGTTTGATGTTATTTTATTTTTACATATTAAAATTTAATGTTAATTTATTATTTAATATTTAATGATTAAGTAATATATAAATCTAGCTATATCATTTTTAGGTGTTACAATCTTGCTGATATCTCTTGGTTTCGGAGAAAGCTTGGATCAATTATATTCGATACTGAAATTCCTACGTCCACATATGAAGAAGCATTGGAATATTTTAGAGAAGCTGAATCAATTCAACCAAAATTTTACTGGTACAATCTAATTTATATATTAATTTAACTTTTGTTAATTTATTATATTTATTTTATAGCAAAAATCTTCTTATGTTGGGCAAAACATTTTTGAAAATGGATAATAAGTTTAGTGCTGAGTATTATCTGAAACTAGTCACTCAATATCCTGTCAAAACTGTTGAAGATCATCAGGTAAATATCAAATTTTAATTTTAATTTGACAGATCAACATATTTCATATTAACATTATTTTTTTTTAATTATAAAACAACTAAAAATATTTTTTGGTCCACTTTTTTAGAATCTATAATTTACTGTTTTTAAATATGTGCAGTCTCAGAAATCCCAATAAAAAAATTCTTTTGTAAATTATTACTTAATATTTATATTAGTTTCTTTATAGATATAACTTTGTTTTCATTTTGTTTTAAAATTTTTATAATTTTGTTCATTCAAAACAAAAATCAAACTGTTATGCAATTCTTAGTAAAATAAATGTTTTACTGGGTTTTATTACAAAAATACTTCTATGAGATTTTAGAGATTTACTTTTATGTATTTTTATTCAGCTAACATTCCTTTGTATTTTTGTAATTTAAAGTAACAATAATTGTTTATGCTGAGAATTTATCATTAGTTTTCATAGACATTTTATCATATTTTATATTTATTGAATAGTATGTTACTTTAAGAAATCATATTATTATTTTTAATTATACTCAGTATATAGTACCCATTACTATGTTTGTTGTTTCAAATAATGTCAAGTAGTCGCAAAATTGGTTTTATAGTAACTTATTGCTTTTAATTAAAATAATGTTAATGAAACATCAGTCATATTTATTTTTTTGACATATTATGGTTTATATCATATTTTTTAGTATATGCTCATACAAATTTGTATGTACACTAAAAATATGTTTTGAAGTTATTTAATTAGAACTTTAAACATTAATTGTTCTCCTTATTATTCTTGCTATGGAATACAATTGTATAATGATTTTTTAAAGAAATATTTTGACGAATTGGTCTTAAGGATACTAGAATACTAGAAACTAAATTAAATTTTACTTTTAGTAGTTTCATTAATATGAATGTAATTATTAGTATCTATGTGTGATTTTAATTGTTTGGAAATATACTTTTCAGGCCAAAATTGAAGCAGAAAAAATTCTCAGATCATCATTTGGGTAATAATAAAAAAATTTTTCTACGATTTTAAGACAACTACAATATTATTATCACCAACGCCTTTTGAAAAAACTAATTTATGTGTACAATTAATATTTTTTCTACAATATTTTTCAATATATTTTATTGTAGATATAGCTCCAGAGTTTAGTCTCAATTCTCCAATAGTCTTCAAATTATAGCCTTTAGCTCAAGTTGAAAATATTTCTATATATGTATATATGTACAGTAGAATTCGCTTAATTAGGATACTGCATAAAGGGGACAACCGCTTAATGGGGACAAATTGGCATAGTTCCAAATAATATATTTGATTAAGGAAATTTAACTAACTTCATTTATCTGGGACAAAAATAAAAGCATCTAATTAGATATTCTGATCTAAACTATCTAATTTTTATGGTTCTATTATATAGGTAATTTAAATTATGTCAATAATTTCTTTTTCTTCTATTACTACAATAATAGTCGACTAGTCTATGTACAAAATCGAAAAACTTTAGTTTTAGTTTTTCGTCTTTGTGTATTAACATATATGTGTTTTTATTGATCTCAGCTTGTGTTAATACATAACAATTATGTCTTGTAAAGATTTAACATTGATTGAAAAAAATTTTATACTGGATAAAATTAAGGCTCAACCTCATAAAACTAGTCTTCGTAATTTAGAGAAATTAATAGGCATGTCTAAATTGGCACTAAGCTGATTGAAAAAAAATGAAAAAACTATTAGTGAACAATGGGAAAAATTAAACAACAATAAAAGTGCACTTGTAAACAGAAAAATAAAGCAAGAAGGCAAAGATAAACGAAAGTAAACAAAGCCATGAACAAATAGTTTTCTGCTGTTATAGAACGTGGTGTTTGTATTTTAATTTTCTCCTTAGGACATTTATAATGTTGACGAGACTGGTTTATTCTACCGAGCGACTCTAAATAATTCTTTGTACTATAAACATGAAACACTCAAAGTATCAAAAAAAGCTATAGATCATATAACAGTTTAATGTTGTAATATGACAGGCACAGATAAAAAAAAAGCTGTTGATAATTGGAAAGTTTGCATATTCAAGATGTTTCAAAAATATAAAAATAACAAACTTGCCTGCTTTTTATCTAGCGAATAAAAATGCATGGATGACAGTAGAAATATTTACATTGTGTTTAAAAGACTGAGACAAAGAGCTTGGAAAACAGTCAAGGAAAATTGTATTAATTGTTGATAATGCTGAACCACATCCTCACTTGAAAAATTTAAAAAATATCACACTTAAGTTTTTGCCTCCAAGTACTACTTCTCTCAATATGAAGATCATTAAAAATTTAAAAATTCATTACTGTGGACTGCTGGTAGCATACATTTTGAAAGCTATTGAAGATAATTTAGTGACTCCATCTACATGTACTATAGATATCAGTTATAAAATAAACATTCTACAAGTAATACAATTTGTCGCTGACAGCTAGAGAAAAGTGTCGTCTGTTATGATTGAGCATTATTTTGCACATGGCGGTTTCAGACCTCTGATTGATCTACTTATTCCTTCTTTTGTTTCTATTAAAAATGACAAGCCCTATGCATAGGAAATGGAGAGTTATTTTTAAAAATTGATGATGGTGTGCAGTGTTTCAATGTAAATGAGAATTACAATTATATTCTTGACGAAATTGCTGAAAGGAAACTGCAAAATGAAGAAAGTGATAACAATGACTACGTTAACCCGTCACAATTACAACAAGAGAAACAGAAAAGTGCATTGATCAGCTAAGACTATATTTCATGTTAAATGAAAACAAAAATGTTCCAACAACTTCGCTAGACGTTTGTGCAGATTTTATCAATATGCAAAGTCTTAATAAATTACAGCAAATAAGAATGGATGATTTTCTGGAGTTTAACAAAATATAAATTAAGTATGATAATCAATTAATTTATAATAAATATGTAATTTTTAATTAAAGTTATTATGTATGTACATATGTTTATGCACTTTAATGGTTTAGATCTATTAGTTGTTTAGTTAATCAGGACAGTCGGATAATAGGAATAAATAGGTCACCGCCCAATGTATCCTAATTAAACGGATTCTACTGTATATATATATATATATTTTATTATTATTTACATATAAACTATATCTTATAAGTAACTTGTTATTTGATTTATTTAAAAAAAAAAAAAAAATTATTTCAACTAAACCGTTATTTCATATATATTGATTAGGTATTGTAGCTTCAAGTATCTGGCTTTATATGAGCTGTAGTGTAATATATAAGTGTCTTATAGTCTATGATATTAGTCTTACATTTAATTAGCTAAAGCCTTAAGTTACCTTTTTTACTGATACTAGTCCTACACTCTATGTAATATACTTTAATCATAAAATTTATAAATAAAGATTTTGTGGTTAATAAGTTGAAAATAAGCTAGTAATTTAAATATGTATGTATGATTTTATTTAAACAAAGTATTCATTATTCAATGTTTAGATTTTAAACAAAATGATCTTTTTTATGTTAATTAATGTATTAATTTTTATATACTTATAATTTGTTATAGTTAAACACATTATAATAGTATTGATTTGTTCCTTTTAAGTGCTGTGCTTTACATTAGTCTTACATTTTTTACTTTTGTTATGAAAATAAACTATTATTACTTGAGAAATGTGTAATAATTGTGTTTGTGTTTAAAAATTTGTAATTGATATATATTATATAATATATTTGCAATTTTGTAATGTACTACCTCAATCTTTAATTGATTATAAAAAATATTCTAAATAAATGTAATTAATAGAATATATGTAAAAAAAAAGGGGAGCGTAAGTTGATACCGCTCTACTTTTCACTAGCAAATATATGTTAAGTATACCTAATCATCAAGTAAGTCATTATAATTAATGTATTTAATTTAAATTCAATGATATAATGATTTAATATGAAAAATAATTCAGAGTGAAGATTGTCAGCCTATAAATTAAGTATATATTTGTATTGTTACTACAGTAAGTTACTATGGAAAGTTGAATTAATTTTTTTCCTTAAAAATTGCATTTTAAAATGTTATTATATGTATAAAATATTATAATATACATACCTACGTTAAAAGTTTCAAGTACCTACCTTCTCTTTCTCTGTTCAGAGCTACTTCACTAGCATTGTCTATCACTAGTTATCTTAGTTCCTTCTTGATTTTGTCAATCTATCTCTGTTTTGGTCTTTCAACCGGCTTCCTAATATTCAGTCTTCCGTGTAATTTCTGTACTTCAATGTTAAATCTAATTACGTGTGTTAGTCATTTTTTGATTCTTAAATGTTTCATGTGAGTATACATAATCACTGGTATTGCTAAAATCTGTAAAATCATTTTTTTTGATATCTTCGATTGTAACTTCGACCCTCGGCCCGCATTTAATCTCGAGAGAGCGTAGAAAAAATTATTCTCTAGTGTGATGTGTTTTTTAATTTCTTCACAATTATCATTTATATTACTTAAGTTAGTATCTAAATACTTAAAGTTATTTACTTCTTGAAACACATATTCGTTAACATGTAGTCTAGCTGCCTTTTATATCTGATGTCCGATCCTCCAATAATTCTATTGAAATCTATTTATTTTGTTTTATTCTCGTTAATAATAAGTCCTGGCTTTTTTGGAAGATCGTATCAAAAATTCTATTGCTTTTCGGATTTCTTGCTCAATGCTCATTATACCAAATAATAAAATTTATTAGCAAGTAAAGGAATATTTCGTTCACAGTTATTTCTTGATGTTTTTCTTGTACCTACTTCTCTTACTGCTACCTTTAGTATGATATTGAAAAGTAATAGCGACAGTGCATTATCTTGTTTTAATCTTATTATTGTTTAGAATTATCCTGATTTTTAGTAACTGAATTTAATTCAAATTTCGATCCTTCTGTACTAACTTTTATCATTTTGAGGGAATCTTGAACAGCTTTAGGTATTTCTATACTTCTGCTCTTTGTATTCAATCATGTAGGTAGGTAACTAGGTACCTGTTTCAAGTATTCATCCGCAAAAGTAGTTGAACTTGTAACATAATAACTAAAATTGTTATTTTTTGTTTAATAAGCTAATTTCATCTAAATATTAAATTAAGAGTCAAAATTGAAAAAATATTTTTAAAATAAAAAATAATAATAAAACTAAAAGGAAAGATTTACTTTTGTCAGAAATCACGGATATGCCTTTCTTTAATTGGTTGATTCAAGTCACTTTAAAAATTATTTTATTATTCATTATTATAAAGCAAAAATTAGAGGGAAAAGAGTTAATACAGAAAGTCAGAGAGAGAAATAATTTTAAATGAGATGTAGCTCTCTCTCCTGGTTTGAAAAGACATGGGGAAACCAATGTCTATTACCTAGGTACTTTTTCATATTATTCATAAGTCTACATTAAAACGATTTCACTGAATGTTATACAATTTATATAAATGCCTTTAGTTCTTAACATAGGTATTATATAGGTATCAATCACATTATGAGGGATGATGGGGATAGATCCCCCAGAGCCTTAAAAAAGGATATGCCTATCTACTTATTTCCATATTATCATATAAAAGAAAAAAAAAGGTTATTTAGTATGATATCTTGGTTTGGTAATTTCAAAATTTGGCAACCCTAGGCGTGGTGTTTAGACTTAATGTTTATCCAACAAGTAAATGATATATTCTCCCTCACCCTCAAAATCAAAACTATACCACTGCACATATTTGCAATTTCGGAGTTAATATGCTTATTAGTTATTATGATAAAGATTTTTAGTAAATATCTACCTATTAAGTATATAGGACACGGAAACATACAAAAAAGTGTTGTAAGTACAACATTGGTTCAATACTACAAATGCCAGTAATACATTTTTGTAGTTAATATTAAGATGAATGTTGAGCAGGATGAGTTAAAGATTTCATAAACATTTTTTAAATTGTCCCTATAATAACAAAATATGTATCAAAACGTCTCAAATCGATCGGGACCTATGAACGTCAGTCGTCGGTGGATCTGAAATCTGAACGACTCGGTATCATTTTGTTCCTCTATAATATATAATAATAATATTATTATTCTATGAACCGGGGCGAGAGAACGATAAGGGAATTGATAAGACGGAAATTCATAATTCGTCGTGATCGACTGGTCACCGCCCGCGCCGGTGACCCGTTTAAAATATTATAGCGATTTCAACTATTTCGAGAATTAAAAACATTTTTTTGGTACTCGTAAGTCGAATTCAATAAATACGAGCAACGATTTGTAAGCGCGTCCCGATATCTGATTTGTCGGACGCACAGATACATAGGTGTGTATCACAAAACAATGATGATATTTTAGTTAAATTTTAAATAGTCGCCGAAAACACGACGATCATTTTGATCGACGTTCAGATTAAATGCTGTAAATGATTTCCAACAGACTTATGATTGGCCGATATGTATTCTGTTTATCGCCAAAGGCTCACACCGTATTATAATGTTATTTGACTAGGTGTTATAATTTTTTTTTTCGTAGATGGCATTACCCAGAGTGTTATTGGTGATTCCACTGTTTGCCGCTTCCATTCTTGGGTTGTACGTTCTCATCCAAAACGCTCCACCAACCGATAACCAAGTAAGATTGCTGTTTTCTACTCATAACAATATAGGTGTTTACCACAGTTTTGTGGTGCCAAGTGAATTAAGACTGTTTTTCAGAATATTTTTCTTTTATTTCTGTGTTTGCCTAAATTAGCCATCTTTAAAAATCAATTTTTACAAAAATAATTAATGTATATACATAATTATAATTATTTATAAACATGATAAATTTTACATACCTACAGCTAAATTATAAATATTATCATCTCAAATACACATACAATGTTTATAGGTACTTAAGTGACCAATTAATTATGTTTAATATTTAGACCAATACCCATAATGGCCATAGTTTCCCATATTGAAAATTCATCATTTTAAACTAGGAACCATAATGTCATTAAAAACTGAATGTGGATTTTGGCGCCTTTTGACTTTAGTATGTTAAATTTCTATTTTATGTAATATGTCTTGTCATAATTTTTGTTTTAGTGCCACATTAAAATGGCGATTCCTAAGAGCATGGCTGAACTTACAGAACTCAATTTGTGTCTTAGAAAGCATTATGATAACAACTACCTTTATATGCTTACATTGTTCAGTACTGTTTACATTATCAAACAGGCCTTTTGCATACCAGGCTCTGTCATACTGGTGAGTAATGAGTATACACGGTGGTGGAACAGTATCGGTCTCAAGAAATTCAACCTTCAGTAATCCAAATCTCAATTTTAACAGTACAAAAATTTTTTCTATTTCCTAAAAAAATTTCTAAAAATTAAATTTAAAAGTTGTACAACTATTAATAAAATATTTTATGATCTGTAGAATTACTGAAACATACACATTATTATACCTTTATAAGTGTCAATGCTATTATTTTAGCCAATTTTATAGTTGAAATTATAGACGAAGTTTTGCAACTATGATTGATATCTGATAGATGAAATGTAAGCACAAAATCGAATACTATGCAGTGTAGTAGATGTATTAAATTTTTGTTTTCACTTAGGTAATTTTCTTAGTAATATATCAAACTACAAAAATATTCATAAAACTTTTACTGAAAGTAATTATTAGGTAACTTAAGAATATTTAAAAATTTAAATATCTATTAAGATAATGTAAATTGTAATTAAGTAAAAGATAGAATACAAAAAAGATAAATTTATATTATATGTTTTCAATGCAAGAAATATTGTCATAATTTCTTGTTTAAAAAAAAAAAATTTCATTGCCTTTAGTTCTTTAAAATGAATGTTAAAATAAAATTGCACTTTTATCAGTCAGTTTTGGACTACTGCAGTAATCTTATTGACTATAATTTTCCAGAATTTAATTGCGGGTTCATTGTTTGGCTCTGGTCTCGGGCTTCTATTGGTATGTACGCTATCCAGTTTAGGTGTCTCAGCATGTTACCTCTTGTCTAAAGTTTGTGGTATCGAGGCATTCCTGATGAACTATTTTCCCAGCACGTTAAGTTCGTCAAAAAATACTGTGGAAAATCTGGTAAGCAAATTACCACAGTTTGTAAACATAATTTTAATATTTCTACTAAGGTAAAACAACAAAGGTTTTAGGAGGAAGCTACCTTCATTTATGTTGTCTCCGTGTTCCAAGCTAATATTAGAACAAATTGATCTATTATCAAAGTTAAAGGTAAGACCATTGTCCATTGTTAAGCATTGTTTTTTTACAATATTTAAATTTTTAATTTAGATATGAATATTTTTAACTTATAATATTTATAATAATCTTATTTTGATTAAAAATTTAAATATAAAAAAATCCAAAATTTAGGTACAATTTTCTTACCTTTTACTTTGATCACAAGTCAATTTGTTTTAATATTAAAGCTTTAAAATTCACCATTAGTTCTATAAGAAACATATTTTTTATGTTGTATATTTTTAAGACAGAAAAACATATGTAATGGTAGTAATGACAAATTTGTTTTTAGGTGCAAAACAACAAACATCAACTTTGGTACTTGCTGCTTGTCTTGCGCATCATTCCAGTCACTCCTAACTGGCTGTTAAATCTACTCGCACCAGTGTTCGGCATTCCCCTATGGACCTTTATGTATACTACATTTCTTGGTAAATCAAATAAAAACTAAATGTTTTTCATAATAATAATTATAATATATTATATTAATATGTATTCCAAATATTACATGCATTTTCTTTTTTATAGGACTAATGCCATACAATTACATATGTTGCCAGAGTGGCGAAACATTGTCAAGTATTAATTCATTGGAAGAAATATTTACATTAAAAACTACACTACAGTTAACATCCATAGCCGTGGCTATGGTGATTGTAAAAATTGCTTCAAAGTTCTGCAAAATAAATACCTAATTGTTATTTACTGTGTTCAATAATTTTTGCTAACGATATGTTTGTTCAAAGATGGTAGTAAGTATTTAAAAACTACACGCGCTTATTCACTTATTGGTGACTATCTCATGACCAACTTTGCTGAAGTGTAATTGCAATTCTGTTACAAATCTTCAAATTCTATCAAAAGTTAGAATGTGCAATGTTTGTAGGTACTGAATGTATTTTTATTTACGTTACGGGCACTCAGATGACGAGAAACATGACTATTGACTAATGTATGAATTAGTATGATTCACTAAAACTTACTCAATAAAAGATTACTACTTGTCTTGATAGGTCTCAGATAAGAAAACGACTTTGCTAAATTCCATGGACTATAAATACATTATTTTAATTAAAATAAGCAAAATAATTACATATTATACATATTTTGTGCTTTTAAAAGCTAATAAGTAAGAAAAATCGTGAAATATAGAAATATGCTGTACATGTCAAAAAATGCAAAATAAAACTTTATATTTCGGATCTATTGAACTAAAAATCAAACTTGTAGTTTAGGTACCTAGCTATTTTTTGGACTGTGCAGAAAAAACATGTAAATGCATATAAATGTCCGAGCCCTAGTCATAAATGATAAAATAATTAATACTTATTTTACAACATGATAAATAATATATTATTTTTTCAACTTAAGTCATCTGGTATTTTTATTTTAGCTGTTTGACACATTTACAAAATACAAGGTAATCCATACCAATTTGTCCTCAAACTTGCGAGTAATCAAAACCAGTTTTCCATCTAAATATAGTTGAGTACAATAGCCAAAGTAATAGGTTCCCTAACCAATTAATGATTATTAAATATTTATTAAAAATAATTTTAATTGAACGTAGAATATGATTCATTATTCCTGTCATATTTTATGGACAATGTGGAATACTGGCCAGTGTTCAAACTTTCAATTGCGAATACATTAAAACTAATAAATATATAATATAGAATTAAATAATAATAAAAAAAAAAAAAATGCACTTATTTATTAATTATTATTTACAAGTAGGTAGCAATTTTTGATAAGTTTAAAAACTGCTATTGACTTAATCAGAAAAAAGTGTATTAAAATAATTCACTTCCTTTCAGATTTATTTTTTATGCCTTGCATTAAATAAAAAAAATATTTTTAAAGAAATGTAAGAATTTGCATGCACTTATAAATACTAAAATTAAAAATTACTCATTATATAATAACAATAGTAATTGATAGACATATTTACCATTGTAAAATAGTATAATTAATATAGAATACCTTTTGTTGCCATAGTTGTAACTAAACAACTAATGAACTTCAGATGATCGGAACTCTAAGTTTAGATTAGTATTTATACTATATATACATCAGAACAGGGAGACATTTGAATATCCTTGATTGATTCCAAACTATAAAGTGAAAGAATCTCGAGCCTTTCAGTTTCAAACACAGATGAGCCAGATCTGAATTTTATGGTAAAATATGTATACTTAGTAAAAGCAATACATTAAATAAATAGTCCAAATGATTTTAATAAATTGAAATTTTTAGAAGTATTTTCATGGTTTAAATGCTATTTTTGATAATTACGTATTCAAATTTAGATTACTTTTATATTTTTATAAATAAAGTATAATAAAAGAAGCTGAGTAAAAAAATAAACTAAATAGTTGCCAAATTTCTATTTGGATAATTAAAAATGTTATCAATTATTAAAATTTAAATTGTAACATACCTATGAGATAAGCATATATGAAGAAAATTTGTATAGTATTTTTAGGACATTACCATAAATCTCAATATTTTTTAAGCTATATTTAAATTATTTTGAGTCTTTTAAGTTCAACAATTGCTGATGATTAATGTAGTATGCAATATAATTGAAATTAAACTATAGAAAATTTATACATGTATTACTCTAGCAAAAAATAAATATTTATACTTATCTTTTATCTTAGAAAATGTATTTATATATTTTATTTGTTTTAATAAGACAAAGAATAGACAAGGCAAGCCTTATCATAAGTATAATTATTAATGTAAAAAATAAATTTCATACTATTTTAGTTTAAAAAAAATTATTGGTTTGCAAATTTAAAAAAAAAATTAGTACATATATTCATATAAATTATAGTATCATTTTTAAATGTAAATGATTACATAGTAACAGTAAATACTAAATAGTAAAAGGCACATCGCATAAAAGGCTGTAAGATCCATAAACCGTGGCTAATGTTAGACATAGATATGTCTCTAGAAAAATGAAAAAGTAAAACACAAGAAATAAAAATAAAATAAAAACTCAAAAATAGTTGTTTTAAAAAAATTATACTCTAATCATTAATAATCAATGAAACATAGGACTTACAAAAAATTAATGTTAAAAAAATAGGTACTTATTCCAACATTATAAAGCCTGAACAACTATTTGCACATAAGTGATAAAATAAACGTAATAATAATTTTCTTAGTATAATTAAATATTTTTGTTTTATTTACAAAAATAGGCATTTAAAAAAGTTTGATGGTATAATGCATTTTTTTTTTTTGCTATTTCCTACATAGTATATTTTTATTAGAAAAATTGTAATTAAATAACTGCTATGATATAATATATTAAATTAATATGTGAAGTTATAGTAAAAAATAAAAAAATACTTGTTAAAAGAAAAATACATATAATTAAAAATATATATAACTAAAGATATTTAAAGTTAGAAGAACAAATTTATGATGCTCATAACAATAATAAGGTTTTAGTTCTTTGAGGTTAAAAACTTAATTAAAGCAATGTAGTAAATTAATAAGTAGGTAAAAACCAACAAACACATTCCGTGTTCACGAGTAGTTTGTAGGTCATTAATAGTAGCATCACCGAAAAAAAATCACATAAAATTAGTAGTATATGTATGATAAAAATAGAAATTTTCTCACACATTTTCTACTCCATCATATTCTTTTTATTACAAAAACAAAGACTTAACGATTATACATAGAAGACAATAAAAAGCGTTTTTAACGGTGGCCGCCTCTAATTATGTTTTGACTGAATTGTTCTTCAGTTGTCAACTGTTTTCTGAATGCGAGCACAGTTTCAACAAGATCTTGAGTAGTAGCTAATTTTGTTTGAAGTAAATTGAGTAGCTGCAATGAATACGCTGGAAAAACAATACAGTTTAGAATAAAACACTCCATTGATCCACAACATTTAATAAATCAAAAAATATTTCAAATGCGCATACATTTTAAATGATGATAACAAAAAGCACAGACATACACACAAAATCGAGCAAGCCAATTTATGATCAAATATTTTTATAACATTGACCCAAACTATCTTAGTCTTTTAAAATGTGATAAAAAAATACTTTCGATGAAAATAATTTTTTAACGTATTATATTAATTAAATAAATAAATACAAGGAATAAACCTTATATTATAGACTATCAAAGTATAAATGTACAACTGTAAACAAATGCAATCAAATTAGGTTCAACAATTATTTTGGTTTTATAAATAATGGAAAAATAAATTTAAATAAATATTACAAACATTAATAAAGACTAGATTGACTAACACGTTGATAGGTTGATGACGTTTCAATGAGCAATTGGATAGAAAATTCAATTTTATACTAAAAGTATATTATAAATTACTTGTATTGCTTTATTTAATCACAGTAACAATTAATTAATACTAATGATAAACAGTTGGGCAGCATATTTCTTTTATACACGTAACTCAAAAAAGTTTAACTAACATTAAATTAAAACTAAAAAAATATATATTCAAAAGGTTATTTAAAATCATATGCTTGTTAAAATTGTAAAACAAAACAAAAGTATTATAAAATCTCTTTTGAATCTGAACAAATAAATATAAATACTTTAATAAATTAGGATTAGTTAGGTTAAGTATAATTATCACTTTTTAGTATCCAGGCTTAAAATAAAAATGAGAATTATTTTGAAATGATCAATAAATAATAAATTTAACTTTGAATATAATATACACCTAACTAGATATTTTTAGAAAATAAACAATACACAGCTGTAAAAATTGAAAATTAAGAAATAATAGAAAAAAAAAATAACTATTTTAAACTAGTTTTTCAGATTCTAAAATATACATAAACAATAAACATGGCATAAAATATGGTTGTCTTAGTTGAATAAAACATATTTAAGCAAAAATAATCATTATCTCAGTGAAATAAAATTTTTTTTTATGAATCAAAATAATTATGCAATAATATTTATGCCAGATACAACAAACAATATATCAAAAGAAAATAAGTGGAAAGGAAATTTTTAAAATAATATTAAATCTGAAACAACACATTGATAAATAAAAATAAGATGCAGCAATATCAAGGAAGAGAAGTAAATAAATATTAAATAAAATAAAACTATGCTTAATAATAAATAATACTGATTCAGTATGAAGGTTGTAGTTAATCAACAAAATCTACTAAGGATTATTTAGATTTTTATAATAATTAACTAGACTATATCATTTGGAAATTACCAAGTTCCATCAAAGGGAGTATATAAAAAAAAAAGAAAGCATAAGCAATAGGTAAAGCTAAAAGTTGGAGAGCAACAAGTAAACAAGTTTTTTGATCTTGGTTACCATCTTGATCGTAGTCAACATTTTTAGTCATTGCCAACAACTGTTTGTCTTTTTGTAACCATTTCTGTCCAGATTCTAGTAATGACTTGTGTTTATCTAGCATTTCATCTTCTTGTTCTTGCAGTTGGGAAACAGCTTCATGGAAATTGTATAAGTCTGCAGACAATTCACCTTCCTGTCAGAAAAAAATCATTAAATAATTAAACAAAATTAAAAATGAATAACTTAAATAGATAATTTTATATACTTACATTAAGCGATCTTAATGCTGCTAGGTCATCATCAACCATACTGACATCCTGTAAGTTACGAGACATGTTTGGAGAACGACTTGGTGGTGGAGAATACATAGGAGTATTAACT